TCATACGGGTCAGTGTGTGGCGTTGCATGGCTTTTGGTAGTGATGTTACCGTACGTACTGTTGTTATCGTTGGTGTCGGTGTGTTGGGCAAGGGTCTCCCCCCATTCTCTTCCATTCCTTCATTCCCCTTTGGTTGTTCTTGTCCAAAAGTGGCCTCCGATTTATTTTGATTACGTCTCACTAGCCTCTTCCACTATCTTTGCTTCTTGAGCCTTCTCTCGGTATCCACGTCGAACTCGAGTCTCTAGTGTGTACCATCAACATCGTTGTCATTGTTGCCGTCAATTACATTGCACAGTTGTGTATGTGCAGCTGCGATCAGCACGGTTGGCTACATACTGCGCGAAAGAAGTTCAACGTACATTCATCAGCCGTGATCAATCCACTGCTGGATGAATGCCTCTCACAAGCCGTCACCATCTCACGGTTTTTTGCGACGTGGCGCGTACACGCGAGCTGGTTTAATCAGTCCATCCCTCCCTTTGCATTCCTTGACTGCCACTCCGCCACTTGTGAACATAACAAAAGCTGATGCCACCACGGCCATCTGCAGAAATGTTTGCTCATAAATGCCCCACGTGGGAGCGACACGTGGGTGCAACCCCATGAGCTATTTCCAGAAACTCCTTTTCACAATCGCTGCTGATTTGCTTCGTGCTCTGGGTCACCTTTCTAATTATTTGATGTCTAATTTGGACTAAAGTTCACTGAATTCAATTGCAATTATAATTGCTCCGAGCAGCACATACGATAGAACTCGTGCTATATTTAACAGACTAATGGGTTTGTGTGTCTCTGCGTGCGTGTGGTTGGTTTCAGAATTTGATCATGTGGACAGCTCACGTGCGCGCACGCACGCACGCGTGAACATTTCAATTTCGCACAGAATGACTGGAGATGTGCGTAGCAGAAAACGCAACAATATTGTCGAGAAAATACACGTTGTTAAATGCTGTATTACATATACAAAGGGTGCAGTCGGCTCTTCGATAAGCGATTTCCCTAAATGTTCAGTAACCTGTGAAGAGGAGTCGGAGACTGGTTTTACCACTTCTTTATTCTTCAACCCACAGCCACACTCGTTCCTCCAAACCAACCCCGAACACGCGTCTCACGGCCCCTTTTAAACCCTCCAACTCCGCCCTCGTTCCCCAATCCACATCTCTGTGCCCTTTAATCCCCTGACCCCCGTCGAGTGTATTCTCCTGCGTGTGATTTTGTGTGTGCTAGCTGTGTTGAGTGCGGATATTGCGTGAGGATGGCTCGGACATCCACCGCACCTGTACTGTAATTTATTTGTGCGGTTGCCGTGTGTGTTGTGGGTGAGCACAATGGACTTGCAATCCAGAGGACGCTCTGACGTCGTTGGATTGAAAACTATATCTTCCACCCGACCTTCGGCTCTATCCACACCAGCCATCAAACAAGGGGACGCCACACGTTACCTCGTATCCAGGTATTGTGTGGTAGGTAAAGTGTAGGCCAGTGGATCTTCACCTCTACTGCAGCCTTGCACCCGTTTGGTTCTCAATCGTAAAAAAAACCCCACAATGTTAACAAACACATAGTGGTTTGATGAAACAAAGTAGTTGTACTTACGTGGCCGTGCTTAATTTGTGTTTCGATTAGTTACCTTCTAAAAAAATCTGGCCATGTCTCGCACCTGCTGCACTCCAGGTCAAGAACCACTCTCACTAGACGTCTGGCCACAGTGGAAGAGTAGACCAAATTACTCTCTAGAGGGGGTTATCCAGAACGTCAGCAAGACATTTCACGGGTCCTCCTTTACCTGATATCGTTTGTCATCAGAATAGAAACGAAATCGATTCTCCGATCGAATCGCGGCAAGAATTGTGACAATTTATGGAATTCCTCGGGGTTGGTGAGGGGAGTAGTCGACCGTTGTGAATCTCGCGATGAGTTATCGTGTCAAAGGTTACACAGCGTTCCAGACTGGGAAACATGCACGTCTCTATGTACTACCTTTTGTCAATCGACTGCTTAGTCGTGAAGGCTGCTTCACCATACTTCACTATGCTGCTCAGTGCATGTTGAAGATAATAAATATAGTAGACGTTGGAGGCATCATTGCTTACCACCCGAGAAGGTAAAACGTGAGTTGTACCAGCATTTAAATGACCAATATAAGTGAATTATGCAAGAACTTTATTTTATAATGATGCCACCACATACTGTACTGTAATCCGCTTTTATCATCCAGATTAAAAATTACCTTTTTTCTCGCACCCAAACTGTATTCACAAATGGTTGGAGGTCAAACAGTGTTAAGATAACAAAAGGGGTTCCACAGGGTTCCATCCTCGGCCCCCTCTTGTTCTCTCTTTATGTCTATGACTTGGGCACTGACCTGGATCATTCCAGGGTAAATCTTTTTGCAGATGACACGATACTGATTACTGCTGGCCGCTCTCCGGATGACGTGATTGCTAAGCTCCAGGGTGATTTCAACAAACTACATCAGCTAGTTGCTCTTAAACTAGTCCTGAATACCTCCAAAACCAAGGTGCTATGCTTGTCACCAGGACTAAAGCAGGAAGTTATTTTTCCCCAATTACATTCCTTAAATAATTATCAAATAGAGCAAGTCAAGATCTATAAGTATCTTGGAGTCATCCTGGATTCAAAACTGAATTTTGAAGATCACATTGATTATATTGGTAAAAAGACAAAAATCAAAATTGGTTTTCTGTATCGACACAAGCACTGCTTCCCCCCTATGTTCCGTTTGGAATTGATAAAAGCTACCATACTGCCTCTACTTGATTACTGTGACATCGTGTATAAATCAGCCCCAAGTACTGTATTGAAGAAGCTTGATTCCATCTATCACTCGGCCTTAAGATTTGCATTGAACTGCCCACATATGACTCAGCACTGTGATCTCTACATTGTGTCAAACTTAACATCTCTTAATGTTCGACGGCTTGTGCACCAGATCTTATTTATTCACGATGTACTTACAAAAAAATCCGCAGACTACCTGCTGGATCTCCTCTCTGTTTCAAAGAACAAATTTGACCTCAGGTCTTCGCTCATTTACCAGCTTCACATTCCCTATTGCCGTACAAAAACTGGAGGAAGGGCCTTTGCTATTGATGCCCCCAGGGTCTGGAATGCTATTGCCAATAAACTGCAACTTGAATCACTACCTATGAGATCTTCACTCAAAACTGCTCTAGAGGAGTTGTACACCCTTAGCTGCCGCTGCTATTTAGTGGCCTAAAATAAATGTTTCGCTCCGGATGACCGCTGCAGAGTATTATCTGTATTTTGATTTAGTGTGCTGATCTGAAAAGTGCATTGAAAAATTTGATACTCCGACTGATGCTCCTGTTGTTGTGGAGTGACTCATGCAGCCAGCTATGGCTCTAGGGTTTGGTGTTACATGTTGTTTATGTCGTTTATTGTGAAAATTCGGTCACAGTTCCTATGATCAATGTTACATTGCTTTTATGGCTTTATTTTGGTGATGTCGAAAAGTTTTTTGGTTTGGCCGTGTTTGTTTGTTGTAGTACGGAGTTAGATTGATGGCCTTAATCTAAGTTGTTTTGTGGTTGTTGTTGTTGTTGTTTGACTTGCATCCCACTGGGATTTTTGCACACAGCGTCGGTGTATGGTGCTTTTTCAGGAATATTTTGCTGTTTTTTCCTGGATTTTCTGTTTGCACAGTCACATAATCACTTTAAGATGTTTTCTTGTTCATGTTTTAGTTTTTTTGTTTGTTGTGGTTGCACCCGATTCAAGAGCCGAATGGCTCACAGGGCTATACCAAATAAATGAAACTGAAACAGATATACAAACTGGAATCCATAAATATTTGCCAGCACCTGTATACGCCGTATGTTGAACTTATTTCGCACCGTACGTAGCCAACCGTGATCATCGGAGGTGCTGGAGAAGGACAACAAACTAAACACAAAAAGCAGTTCTAAATAAATGAGTTTTCAGTCTATAAAGTGCACAAGCTACAGTGGCTTCCGAATATCGGAAGGAAGAGCGTTCCAGACGGCCGCAGAAGTGCATCTGTTCGATGGCGAGCCAAAAGCGGCTGTGAGGATGACCGGAGTTCGCGCGATGGTTAATGCTCCTTGACGAGATCAACAAGGTATTGCGGTTCATGTATGTGCCTTGTGGTATCGAATTCTATGCAGGGTCCATGAACTAACACTCGAAATGGAAGCCTCTAAAGCCGGATGCCATCTAGTGTTACACTCGAGTGATTGCAGGCATATTCCTCATCCAAAACCAGGATAACAAAAAAATCTGTAATAAAACCAAGAGTGAGGACATGTACGTACTGTGTAGCCCAACTCAGTGGCGTAGTCACTATATTATCAGTTAAGGGGGCGCGGCAATCGGTTAGGTGGGGTCCCAATATTTGATTTGCGCAATTTGCAGGTGCCAAACGTTACTGTTCTAATTAATTTAAAATAAAACGTGGACCGTAAATTTAAGCATTTTCATGACAATAAATGTAAACGGCGTTTGAAACAAGTGCTTGTTCTTTTACACTGTTGTTGAAAACATATCTCATGGTGGTTGTCAAGGAAGCCCCAAATCGTAGCTTTGGCCACCAGCCGGGGCCAAGGCAACCCCTGTCCCCACGATCATTACGCTGCCGGCCCAATTAAATTTGTTGTATTTACATAACGTAAGTTAATGATCATTTATTTACACACAGGCACATATATCGAGTATCTAAAACAAATAAAAAAAACCTTACTTGTAGAATGAAATTCTCAAAAAGAATCACCCACCAACAACAATATTAGTGATTAAAGTAATCCACTTATTGTAAGACACACTTTTGGCGGTGCGTTATAAAATTCATTTCGTGTGTAGGTGTCAACATAAATTAATTGACACAAGTTTTGGGTGCGTCTTATCTTCTGGAATGTCTTAAAAACAGAAGAGTATATGAATATCATACTATACTGTTAATACAGTATTGAGTTTCAACAATTCAGCGCAGACATTTATTGGCTTTTTGAGACATTGGCTTTTATTGACATTCACGAACAGCGATGTTTCGCAAGAGCCCTTTTATGCATTCATCACCATAAAGAGTGCAAAACATCCCTAATTTAGGCACATTATTGCTATAAACACGGGTATTTAATACCCAACTCAAAACGTCATTTAAAAAAATGAATCACTACACTTTAATGTGTTCAAAGATGTGGTATAATTCTACAACTTGTAGCTACAAGAGTCTTCTCTGAAGATAGCGATTTTTTTTATTTGAAAGAAAAGGATCCAAATTAAAATAATACCAAGCACTTGCAGCTACCGACACTGCTCAACTCGCAATAAGAGATTAATATAATCCATGCAAAATCCATACAACTGAATTATATGAGGCGATTTTTTAAATCTTACATTGAATACATTTGTAACACCGCACAAATTATAACCAACACACTTCACAGAAGTTGACATTTTCATTTGACAACTTGCTTACATAAAACTGCTTCTTTGCACCATATTTCACGGAAAAGTCACTGGTTTTGGAATGATCATCACCACGGTCTCCACAGCTGCTCGCTCTTCCTCTTGGTGAATGTGAAATCTGTTTCTGCGCCGCTGTCCCAGCCTGAGCCGTGGGGCCCCGGCGAGAAGGGCTGCCGCTCTCTTGTGGACGCCACGTGGCCTCCAACGCAGGCCCCCTTGCCGTGGGCAGCGGGGTGCAGGCCGCCTGGCGTCTGTTGCTGCACCTTGCACAGGTAGTTGATCGTCAGCTCCAGGATGTCCGCCTTCTCCAGTTTGGACGTTGACGCATGCTGCAAAAAAAAAAAAAATTGAAAACCAATGTTATTCAGATGTACAATAAAATATTATTTAATAGCATGTTAAATATCATAAATATCTAATATAACAAACATGCAGGTGCACCAATGATATCCATGGCTGCTCACCTCATGCTGGCTGCTGTCCAGGATGATGCTCTTCAGATGTTCCAGGAGGTTATTGATCCTGTCCCGTCTCTGCTTTTCCACAAGAGGTTTTCTGACCTGAGGAAAGAAGATAAGCTGTTAATTTCTGTGTTGCTCATGTTATTCTGTAATATAAATTCATAACACTGCAGAAAATGGTATTGTGGTTTAGGTCACGTTATTGTACTCACTTTGCGTGGTAGTTGGTAGGAGGAGGACTCAACAGTTGCAGTAGGTGCCATTGCGAGTTCCAACTGCTGATTTTCTCACTCTTGTCCTTGCTTGTGGCCTTTACCCTGGATGCCAGGAAGAGATCTGCTTCTGTGCCAGACTTGAGCAGTTTTTATAGCCGAGACGCCAAGGCTGCATCTGCAGGCCCTTTGTGCGTCAGATTTTCCCACCACTGAGCCACCAATCAGGCTGGTGGGAACTTAGAGGCTCCGCATAGCTCTCATTGTCCTCCCGGCGTAACATCTGCCGATGCTGGCCACAGCAGTGACACGTGGGTGTCCACAAAAGCCCTCAAGTGTCAAATCCTTCTGCACCATGTGTACGGCCCATGGGAAAGCCACGCCCCCGAAACGTGTAGGGAAATTAGTAAATTAGGATCACCTTTTGGCAACAAGTGTGGCTTTCAAATGAGAAAGCAAGCAACCCTCTGAGATGCACAGCACTGTCATCTGCATGAGAGCCACCCCAAACAATAGGAAGCGTGCCCAAAGGTTACAGCCAAAAAAATCAATTTGTACAATGTAAAAATTACAGAAATTACACTCGTGTTGTGATTACTAAAACATATACAGAACTGTGTTAAGGAAAGTTAACCTTTGAATAGTATGTTCAAAAATAGATATTTTAAGTTTTTTTTTTATCTTTAGAGAGTACGTTTCAGCATGCATCGTTTTTTTTAAATCACCTTGATCACAGAAAACAATATGTAGTTTAAATTAACTCTAGCGAATGTGTTTATAATAGCTAAAACGTAAATTTTGATTTAAAGCTTTCGTGACTGCAGTAATTCATATTCTTAGTTTTTTCGGGAAAGTCACGTTGAAGGGAAACAACAAAATAATGAAATATATATTGTATTTTATTTTTATTATATATATTTTATTATTTTGTTGTTTCCCTTCAACGTGACTTTACCGAAAAAACTAAGCATATAGCTAAAACGTAGTTTACGTGCTGTGCAATTGCTTTTGTTAAATCTGGCACGTGCCTTTTAAAGTCAGGTCTCCCTTGAATAAGAGACCCGTTCCCTCAATGTGCTCTCACCTGGTTGAAAATAAAGAATGCCTATCTACATCACTGCATTCTGTGTTCTGATAAAGAATCAAACACCGTGTAAACATAATTGTATTTTTTAAAAATAAGTATTGCAATTAGGAAACATAAAACATCGACTTTGAAAACGAACATTCCAAAATTAACATTCAGTTAACCATCGTGTGCATGTTGTCCGTCAGTAATTCCGAGCATCCCATGGCATTACGTCGTGGAGTTGTTTGATATAATAAAAGTGACAAGGGCATTATTTGGCTAAGCGGCTGTGCCAAACTGGCTGTGAGCGTTGGGCGTGGCGTTCCCAGGGCTTTGAATGTGGCGTGTGCCGTGGGAGGGCTGTTCTCATGAACCCCAGACCCCCAGGGCATGTCCGTACGTGAGCACACGCTGCCACGCGGCCGACAGATGGCCTAAGGAAACAAAGGTGGTAGCCTTACTTTTGTGTTCACAAATCATATCCCATGATTAACTTCCCAACATTTTTAACACTTATATATTATATTACATGATTATCAGAATTAATAATTATTGGGAAGGACCATTGCATGGTTGCAAGTACATAAAAAATAGATTATTTGCTTTACATCAGTAATGACACTGTAAATGAAAGCCCAATAATTAATGAAGTACATTAGGTGTGTTTGCATTTTTGTTAATAGGTAAGGGGGGACACATAATCAAAGCTGGTATAAACTGGTACGATATTATTATTGCCATCATGTAATGATGGAAATACATGCGTGTGAATATCCAGAGAAGTATAAACTAGTTAGGACGTAGTGGAGGGGGTTATTGGGTGAAGTGAGGTCATACATTTCTGGGCACGTGGAGCGATGTCTTGTCAATACGAGCCATGAAAGCAACACGAGCCTGCCCCCCCCCCCCTCATATCCAAACGCACGCCCTCCTCTAAGGTGAGTCTAATCATCTGATTGTTCTAGTTGCTTGGGGGAGTGGCTTTCCCATGGGCTGCACGCAGGGCACATGAGGAGTTAGAGCTCCGGGTCCTTTGTGGCGATGCTCTCCGGGCACACGCGCATCACTGCTGCGGCCAGCACCGGCAGATGTTCCTCTGGGGGAAACAATGAGAGCTCCGCTGAGCTCGCGCCGTTCCCACCAGCCTGATTGGTGGTTCGATGGTGGGAAAATCTGACCCACAAAAGGGGCTGTGGAGGCCGTGTTGCTGCCTCGAGTATAAAGGCAGCGTGAGTTCTCACTGAGAGCAGATCGCTTCCTGGCATCCAAGATAAAGGCCAACAAGCAAGCACAAGAGTGAGAGAAGAAGCAGTCAGAACTCAGAATGGCACCCACTGCAACTTTGGAAATCTCATCCTATCAACTGTCCCGCAAAGTAAGTACTGTTCCTATAATGAGAAAGACCATTGCAGCATACTAATGTTTTACATTATGGAAGTGATCATGGAAAGTACATTGATATTTACTAAATGTTATTCTCCTTCTCTTTCTTCAGGTCAGAAAACCTCTCGTGGAAAAGCAAAGACGGGACAGGATCAATAACCTCCTGGAGCACCTGAAGAGCATCGTTCTGGACAGCAGCCAGCATGAGGTGAGCAGCCATGGATTTTAGAGTTACACTTGTAATCTACGCAATTTAATGCTTGTTTAATTAAATGCAATCATTAATGTAATGTATTTATATTGATCGACAATTTGTTGTTGTTTTTTTTTTGCAGCATGCATCAACATCCAAACTGGAGAAGGCGGACATCCTGGAGCTGACGATCAACTACCTGTGCAAGGTGCAGCAACAGACGCCAGGCGCCCTGCACCCCGCTGCCCACGGCAAGGGGGCCTGCGTTGGAGGCCACGTGGCGTCCACAAGAGAGCGGCAGCCCTTCTCGCCGGGGCCCCACGGCTCAGGCTGGGACAGCGGCGCAGAAACAGATTTCACATTCACCAAGAGGAAGAGCGAGCAGCTGTGGAGACCGTGGTGATTCCAGAATTTGAGAAAAGCCTTCCTCCCTGATGGAACACTTTCCTCTCGTTAATCTTTAGTGTGGCGTTTTTGTTTCCTTTAAAACGAAAAGAGCACACGTAAATAAGGTTATCTTTGTTACAAAAGACATGTAAGGCCAATATTAAATATTGAATTTTTATTTTAAAACAATTTCAGAGTCTGGTCCAATGGATCCCAAATGATCTTAGTGATGATAAATACGTTTGAGTATTTTGTAGCCATAAATATGAATTTGTGGGTAAAAAATGAATACACTTTCTTCCATGAAGAATTGTTTGTAGCCATCTGTTGTGGCCTTAGTCATGTTTAAACATGACAGATTTGACATTTCCAAAATAATGTGGCTTCTACGTGCCTTAAGAAAAACTGTCCCTGTTATTGTGTTTGTCAACCATATGTTAACATTTATATTGGTATTACACATTTTTACTGTATTGTACCATGATAGATGTAGAGTTCTACGTTCAACTACTCTTAAAATTACAGGACTTGCATTTTAACAACGTGTAACATTTATTAAGTAGACTGTAATGTCATCATATTAATGTCCCTCTATTGCGAGAAATGTTGTTTCCTGTGGAAATGTTATTATATCGACTGTATTCGGTATAATGTGCTGTATCGGTAGCAGAGTTTATGCTGCAAAAGTGACAATTGCATGCAAAGAAAATACATCGTTTGTACTTTGCCCACGTATTAATTGCATTCCTTGTACTTTATGAATGTTGTTCTCAGACACGATTGTAATCAATAAACATTTTGATATGAAATTAATGATTTTATCCATTTATATACAATATCCGCCTACTAAGGTCATCATCAAAAAATGTATCCGTTTTCCAAAAACACTTTAACGACGTCGTTTGTCAACATCATTTGCTGCTTTGCTATTTCTATTAAACTATCCACCACAGATAAAACGGTGCCTAGAAATGGGAAGTGAATCATGAAACCTTCCCCATTGCTTTTTTATCTGCATTAATGAGCAGCTGGCAGCCTTGGAGTTCGCAAGCCTTATTGAAATATACACAATCATTAATACAAAATACATTAAGATTTGTGAAAGTGTGAATGTACGTTTAACTTATTTTGCACCGTACAAAGCCAACCATGCTAATCAGAGGTGCTTCCCCACGCCGTGCCGGTCGTGCGAGTTGTTTAACTCATACTTAGCCACGCTGGTCGGTACCGGTTAGTGACCAGTTCTGGTATCACCGGCCAGTGATTAATTGGTTTTGGCTGGAAATTAAATTCGTCTCGCTGATTTAATTGCACATTGTGCTAACCACTACATCACCGTTCCCTGGCAAAATATTCATCAATCCTGGCAATAGACCGCCACTAATTCAATAGGTGATGCCTAGAGACACACAAAACTAATGTTTATATACAAGTGCTGCATAGGGCCGATGATAATTATCTGTTGGTGCTACAAACGGTCATGCTTTCACATACCTGAATACTGCTTTGGGAGATTGAAGCAGAAACGTAACATTGTATGAATATGCATATACAGTAATGGATTCGGTACTCCCACGCATTGCATTTTCTAAGTATAATGGACATGAAAAGAGAGTGCAAATCAGCTTCCTACCCCCCCCCCCCCCCCCAAGATAATTGACCTCTCACTCTTAAAAGACTTCCTAAAGAATGTGCAAACAATTCACAAGCAACTTTGCCACAATGGCAAAGCGAGAAACATGTCCAAGGCCACTTGCTGTACAATTGCTCTGTCAGTTTATAGAAATAGCCATCGTGGAAAGGTTACATTAAACACTTAATGCATGTTAAAAAGAGCCATACAGTTATAACTTTGATGCACTACAATTAGTACGGAAATGTTTAATTAAAGGTTATAAGTGTATCGCTGTATTTAATATGCAAGTAAATGCTTCCGAAGCTTTTTTGACGAAATCGCCCAGAATACACCCAGTCTCGTGAGATCTCGGAAACCACGCGGGGTTGATTCTACATGGCACCTGGATGGGTGACTTATGCACAACAAGGTTGTTGTCATCGGGCAGTGGGGCTACGTGGTGGGCAGCAGAGGGCAGGGCAGAAAGATCAGTTGTACTACATTTCTGTACCCGTGTCTTGACAGCCCACCGCAACCTCACCAACTAACACTCGCCAGGCACGGTGAGGTATGATGGCTTCTAAAAATTGTCTTCTTCATTGCCTGCACGGCGCGGGGAGGCCCTCATCCACAGCAGTGGATTGCTTAAACGACTGTACATTAAAACATTTTCAATGAAAACTCTACATGTAATTTCTACATGTAGAAATTGTGTATGTACAAATTAAATACTGCACACTACATTTATTTAAGTTTTTAGTTTTATACTGCGCTATTCGCGCGTATGGTATCTGACAATCGCTCAGGAAGCACAGAAAGCTGTAAGACAGTCAGGTGACGAGCTGCTGTTAACGTGCCCAACATCTGCAGTCTTCTGTATATTAAGATGTTTCATCCAATTAACCTTCGTTTATACACGCTAATTTTACAGTGCATTCTCAAATAAAGATTTCATTTCACACCGCATCATTGAGTATGCGAGATCATTCGCACTGCATAATAGCTGTAAAAATGCACTTTATTTCATTATATTCATAGCTTTATTAGACACTTAAGGAGATTTAAAAAACGTACTTTTAAAAAGCCAGTCATGCATTAATTTGGCAACACTTCCAAAATTTCACAAGTCACCTCCATATTGGGGCATTCGGATTGTGATTGGAGGTGATGTAAGGAAAGCAGCTCATTTAGAAATGTTAGAATTATCGAAATCCCAGTGAAATGCTATTTTGTGAACAGACAATCCAATAAAATGGTTTCTAATACTTGTCTTCTTAAAATAAAAGCAACATTTTAACTGATTGGGGTGTTATTTTATGAAGTTATTGATGGCTGCGATGAGACCATGCACTCGCAAACCTTAAGAACCCGGTTTAATCACGGGTGTCTGTGCCCCAGTTGAACCGAGGCTCTCAGCCGTGCCATCTCATTGCTCTGACCCCTGAACAAACTGGCCACCTTTCATTCATAAAAAGTTTTTATTTAGTGGAGAGCAGTATTGTAGCGGTTAGTGCACTGCGCTATGAACCTGACCACCCGAGTTTGATTCCCGCTCACGGCCAACACCAGTGACGATTATCTGAACCGGTCCTGGGCCTCCCCTAGGACGATTCAGTCCCAAATGAGTACCTGGTGCGGTGTGTAAATATCTCCACTGGGGAGACAAAGGCGGTAGGGGGTCTTTCTGGCCACCCACCCCCTTGTGTGCCGTGCTGGCATTCATAGGTGCTCGCTAACCGCACTCGCCCCAACAGTCTGTTAAGGTTTTATCTTTGTCTTTAATTTATAGAAGACGATTATTAGAAACAATTACATTGCATTGATTGTCCACCAAATAGGATTTTACAAATTTCAAAATCGCAATCGAAGTGAATAATCATCTTCTCAAAGTACAAACACATATATAACGGTTGTATCAAGGACAGGTGGCCAGGTGGCTCACAGCCATGAGTCGACACGCCTGAGCGCCTGGGTTCGACTGGGGGACAGACACGCGTAATTAAACCGGCTTCACAAGTCGAGCGAGTTTATGATCTCTTCCCAGTCACCAATGACTCCACACACACACAAAAAAACCCCCATCAAATTAAATGTTGGTTTTCACAAAATTTGGCAAAAATGTTAAGACTGAGACTTATTTCGGTTGGATTGACATTCCACAAACACTCTTTGCAGGGCACATAAAAGGTTGTGTCCTTAGTGTGTATAAAGAGGCCTATTGAAGTGACCTCAGGAGGCGTTTTGTGACATCATCTTCTGGGGTCACTCTCTGACACAGGGTGATGCACTAGTAGCTGCAGACTTTTAAATGCAAATGTCTTAGTCTCATGACACGACGCTGATAGCAAAATTGAAAGAAAAATAATTGGGGAAATGTTTTGTTTTAAAAATGATAATACAATTTTTGTAAATAAAGTTTTACTAAAGACGATAAACAAGTGTGGGTATGAGTCGCTTTGGCTTTGAAGAAACCTGTAGCATTGTCAGGTCACCCGACACAATAAAGAGGACAAAGCTATTATATGGCTCAGTGGGTGTGCGGGTCTGGCTGTGAGCAATAGGCGTGGCGTTCCCAGGCTCGTGAAAGCGACGTGTGTCGTGGGAGGGATTTTCTCATGAACCCCAGGCCCCCGGCCACATCCGTGAGCACACGCTGCCACGCGGCTGGCAGATGGTCCAGAGAGACAAAAAAAAAGAGGAGAGCAACTCCAGCACTTAATCACATCCCGAGCAATGTGCTGTGAAACCCAAGGAGCCACCCGCAGGTAAAAAAAAAAGACCCAACACGCACCCATTGAATTTGTGAATGCCCCTGAAATTTTATCTTTACCAAGACTGTGCACTTTGTAATATTACCCCCGTTTTTAAATTAACAATGCCACACAATGCATTCAATGACGTATTATGACACCATACTTACCCCGTGATGTATTTATACGGTTGTGCAGCTTCATGACACTGCATCAAGGTAATTTGCAGATACCGTAATGTAGTAGGATTTCACACACATCTTTTGTCAATAAAAAGCTTAAGATTTACAAATCCACATGTAAAGTAACCTATACTTGCAAGTCATAACATTAAATTTATTCAGAGGATGATTTATGCCACAGCGTTTAGCATAACGATGATACAAGTAGCTCTTGCTGCTTATATTCAAACAGAAAATTGAGATTGGTAGTGTGTAGCACGTGTGTCATTTTAACTATCTGTCTGGGCAAGATAGCTTCTATAAGCTGTACAGAATCACACAGGACAGTAGCTTATACAATCTGAAAATGGAGCATGTACTCAGACTACGTCATAAAACAGGATCTTAGGCGATCAACATGAGCTCTACATGAAATAATCCAGAAAAAAGCAGCAACGTGCAAATTTCGAACAGAGTAGCTTAATATCATCTGTGTAGAGGGAACATGCTGAGACCATAAAACATTGGTCTTAGTTGATCAACATAGGACAACGCAAACTTTACATTGTCAACATTATGAAGTAGACTTGGGAGCAGGGGGTGGGGCGGGTTGCAGAAATATGTAATGTTGAAGTGCTGGCTTTGTAAACAGCAGTGACGTATGAACTGACCGCATTTCTTTTCTCCATGTGCAAAGTGTCCTCGCATGAACGCACTCCCTGGTCACAGAGGTGAGCCTAATCCAGTAATTGTCCTCGAGGCTTGTTGGGGGAGGGGGGTGGCTTTCCCATGAGTTTCTCACACAGCACGGGAGGGAGTTAAAGCTCCCCGGTCTTTTATGGCGGCGCTCTGTGGGCACACACACACACATTCGTGACTACTGCGGCCAGCGACGGCAGATGTTCCTCTGGGCGAAACAATGAGAGCTCCGTTCGAGCTCGCGCCGTTCCCACCAGCCTGATTGGTGGATCGGTGGTGGGAAAATTTGACGCACAAAAGGGGCTGTGGAGGCCGTCTTGCTGCCTCGGGTATAAAAGGAGCGCGAGTTTTGGCTCAGAGCAGATCGCTTCCTGGCATCCAGGGTGAAGGCAACAAAATCAAGCACAAGAGTGAGAGAAGAGGCGGTCAGAACTTCAAATGGCACCCACTGCAACTTTGGAGAGCTCGTCTTACCAACTTTCCCGCAAAGTGAGTATTAATTTCGTTGTGAAAGACTACATTTAACATTTTTATTTGACAAGCGAATATAATTTTACTTCCATACTTTGAGTCGGAAATTGATTCTGTATTGTACTCTGAAGTTACGTAATTAAATGTGGTGTTATTTTTTGTATTTCCTGCTCAGGTGAGAAAACCTCTTGTGGAAAAGCAAAGACGGGACAGGATCAATAACCTCCTGGAACATCTCAAGAGCATCATCCTGGACAGCAGCCAGCATGAGGTGAGCATCATATTTAAACTTGTGTGCTGCTTAAAAACAAGATCACAAGAAGAGGAACCGATTTATATACGTAATATAAACACTGCAATTACATATAATTGCATCTATTATAAACGTGGCAAACTGAAACCTCAAGTGAAATTTAAAAAGTCATTTGGTACATTATGGCAAAAGTCATTTTAGTAATGATACATTAGAAGTGTTTTATCACTGAAAATGTTTAGCTTAATCTCTCTCTCTCTCTTGCACATATTTGCGAGGAGAAAAATACGCAACGTAATTTTAACGGACACTTTTTTTTAATTATTATCATTCCATTTTTGCAGCATGCGTCAACGTCCAAACTGGAGAAGGCGGACATCCTGGAGCTGACGATCAACTACCTGTGCAAGGTGCAGCAACAGACGCCAGGCGCCCTGCACCCCGCTGCCCACGGCAAGGGGGCCTGCGTTGGAGGCCACGTGGCGTCCACAAGAGAGCGGCAGCCCTTCTCGCCGGGGCCCCACGGCTCAGGCTGGGACAGCGGCGCAGAAACAGATTTCACATTCACCAAGAGGAAGAGCGAGCAGCTGTGGAGACCTTGGTGATTGGCCATCGGCGACAGGAACTTTGCGACATCTTCAATGTTGAGCGCGGCTCGCTGATGCGAGGTGTTCAAAACTCGCACTCTTTTTCTTCCACGAAGAGCTCTCGTAGCCAAATGCTTTGGCAGTATTTACATTGTTTTAACGCAAACATTTTGCAAGCCGTTATTGTTAAAAATCACATTTGATTTAATTTGTTCGGTCCTGTGGATCTAAACATATACATGTTATATTTTATAGGTGTTCATTGATGCAATGATTGAGTAACCAAACATCGTTCCTTCTATGAAGAATTGTGTAGCCATCTGTTGTGGCTTTTGAGTTGTTTCAGTTGCTCGAATTGACAGTTATTGTGCCTTACGCTGTGACGTGTTTACCTAACTTTACAAGTAGAATACGTTACACTAATAATTTAATTATTAGTCCGCTGATAAACATGTCACGTTTCACACCCAGAAGTCCAAACAATTCAAAGGTAGTGAGTTCTCTTATTACTAATTTCTTTTTACGTAAACAAAGAAATTGCAAAGTAAAATTTTCTATGAGAATTTTGTAGCTATGAGTATTTCATATCTGTTATTTCCAATGGAAATGTAATATACATTGCGAGTGTGTTGTACTACTTACAGCACCTGTGAATGGATGCACGTGTGCACTCTGTGAGTGCAAGCGATGAATGTTGTACAGTGGAATTTCTGCAAAACTCATTCATCTTGGTTTTGTGTTACACACAATATTCTGTGGATGTTGGAAAACCATTTTTATTTTCCAATAAATGCTTTGATGAAGAAAAAAATGCATTGTTTTATGCCTCAATTCGTATAATATTATTATCTGGTACAATGGAAAGTCACATTTAAAAGTTGAAGACAAACACACACTCACGGGCATTGACCTAATGTGACAAAGTATGCTAAAAAAACACACTTCTCTGATCGCACAAACCACAGATCCCCCCCCACTCCCCCATAGCTCTGGTTCCACCAGTTGCCATAGCAGCAGGGGTAGGTGAAAAAGCAGAGAATTTCATGATTCATAGGGGATGAACAGGATGCCTTTTTGGTGTGGCTATTGCTACAACAAAAACAGCTGGCATTCACCACTAAGTGACATCATGATGGTGCCTGTGCCAGGCCAGGTGTGCTTTCAGGCCATGTAAAGTGTCTAAGGCTCGCTGGCAAAAGGTCTGAGATGACTGGCATAAGCACCACCGGTGCTTCCCACTATTCGTAGATGCACAAAAATACACAGCCCTAAAAAATATCTCCCAGTTAAACTATGAAGGCAAAATGACTAATTAATTCATAAACAAGCATATATCCACTATGTAAACATAAGTAGCATTTTAGACCAGCAGCCAATTGGGTTTACAGATCAATATTTTCCAGAAGCATTTTGCACAAGTAGATTAAATTCTGGGCCAGTTTTGACTCTTGAGTCTCATCGGCAGAATGTAAAAAATAATAATACAATATGATTGCCTGATTTTATAGTCTTCAGACAGCCACAAATTCCATGGGACCAATGAAAATCTAATAACATGACAGAATGAAAAATATCTTCCTTTGCATAATCAGTTTATTACAGCCACCCATTTACGGTGATGACCTTTTTTTTAAGAGGTGCATCGCCACTGAAAAAGGTCACGATTGCCATTATAATGAGTAGACACTTCTAAAGAGCACTCATCTTGGTCCTGAATAAATTCATGTCTTAACTGATAAACTTAGTGAAAGATGCTTGCAGACTGGAATGATATTCATTGGGTTTCCAATAGCTGTTTTGCTGTAATAAGTGAGGCTGACATACATATGAACCATGTCTAGCCCCTTTGTCGATCCACTGCTGGATGAAGCCTGCTCCCCATGTCGTGTTGGTCACATAAATTATTTTACCAAACTGAAACATCCTGGAATACACATTCCAGGATGTTTCAGTTTTTGGTTGATTCAGATATCACTCACCAGTAATACAACTCAGGCAACTGGGTTCGTAGCACAGCGCACAATCCATTATGCCACCACCGTTCTCCCAGAGGTGATGTTTATTAATAATAATAAAAATGGTTTGTATGCATATATATAGAATGAAAATAAATGTATGTATCCTGCATTGATAAAAAAAAACGACAAATGTACAGCCCATTATCAAACCACTGCTGAAAGAAATCTTCTGTCACACTATGTTGGTCGTGGGGGTTGTTTGATCAGGCTTCACCACGCTGGTCAGTGCGAGTTAGTGAAGGGTGAGGCCAGGTGCAGTTCATATATCACTCTTAGCCACTGGCAACTGTGGCAGGGAATCGAATTCAGGTCGCCGAGTTCATGGAGAAGTTCATAAACCACCGCGCCACTGTACCCCCATTCCACTTAATATGAGTGCCTTTCTTCATATATTAGTTGTGTTTCTGAATAAATGCATAAGGATTGCAGTGAATTAAGATAATTTGTTTGTATAAAAAGGTGCAGTAATTTTTCATGGAGACTAATTGGAAAACGAGCGATAGGCAGCTTTGGACGTGTTAATCAGACGCATGCAACGTGTGGATGAATTCATGAGTCATGAAATCAGCGCCAACGGGTATACAAATCACATTATCGTACTCTACACAATGTCAAAATACCGTAGTGTTAAATCAATTAAAAAAAAAACCCTACATAAATGAATGTGATACATAATCCTGCACACAATGAAGTATAATTACCGTAAAATTGGTTCTTTCGGTAAAGTCACGTAGAAGGGAAATAATAAAATAATAAAAATAAAACTATAAAATAAACATTTATTTTATTGTTTAATTTTACTATGTTTTATTTTAAAATTACATTTTATTATGTTTTATTTTATTATGTTTTATTATTTTATTATTTCCCTTCTACGTGACCTTACCGAAAGAACCAAGAATATGAATCCCTGCAGTCACGAAAGCTATAATTACCGTGCTGTAAAAGTTATGGAATATTTGCACATCATAAGTAAAGAGACAAGTATGCCCCACCCCCCTCAAGCTAGAATAGCTCTTTAAGTCACTATACAATATTACAATAACACCCAATGCAATTTTGGTATAAGCAGTAGACGTTTGCGCTGGGTTGGACGGGAAGCGTTTAACAATCTACAAACGGTAAAGGTGCATCGATGAAATTGCTTGCTTACGGCATTGCTTCACAAACTGTGCTTCCCCATGCAACTGGATTCAACCTAGCCATTCCTCCTGTTCCGTGATGAATTATGAAAGGCAGGGGCCCTATTGAGCGATTCCATTCGGTAAGAACACCCAGTAACACTCAGAACGTCAGCGAGCCCCCGAAAGTCAAGAAGCCCCTTCTGCTGAGAGGCTGCAACTTCCTTTTGGCTCAGACAAGATTTTTTTTCTGCCATTTTCTTTCGAATTAGTAAAATCAACAAATACACAAGCTCAGGAAAATGTAAACGGTTGATTCTAACTTCTTGCAAACATATGAAGTCATACAAACAAATTAAAGAAAAACCAAAAAAAATATCTCACCGTTTATGGTTTAGAAACAAAATCAACATGTTTTCACCATTCACCAAGCTACGAAGTAATAAACGAGTGTGACTGTCTGGGCATTGCGTAAGCGGGGCCATTCGACAATAACAATGACACGGGTAGGTATTATGCAGCTCTGCAAGAGAACGAGGCTGCCTGCGACCCAATGGTGGGCGTGGTGTTCCCAGAGGCGTGAATGTTTTTTTTTATTTCCTCCTCCCTGCTGCAATCACCGCACCGCAGCCGTGAGAACGGAGAACCGCAAGGCCAGCAGATGGCCAAGGGAGACACAAAGGGATGCAAATCAAGAATTCTGCTACATTCCAAGGAAGCGTGCTGGGAAAACTTACATTTGGAGTCCCATGTTACAACATCCACACAACACGGTGCGGAATCCATAATAGATGGCGTAAATATATAAATGTGTCGTTAAACCCGCCATGTACCTGACATTGTCACCAGCTTGGATGTTTGTTGAACTTCTTTTGCACCGTACGTAGCCAACCGTGCTAATCGGAGGTGCAGGGGAAGGACAACTAAACGTAAAAAAGCCGTTCTAAATAAATGAATGTTCAATCTAGATTGAAAAGTGCATAGCCCCAGTGGCTTCCTAATATCGAATGGAAGAGCGTTCCAGACGGCTGCAGAACATACACACAACGCAGTGAGGAATGTACCTGGCATTGTCTCCATATATCTTCTGATGGCGTTTGAAGAAAAAGAACAACAACATGCCACGATTGTATTCTAATTGTATAAGCCATTCCAATGGATCCGGGGTGGTAGCTGAGCAGAGTCCGCTTGTTCCACCAGAATACGAGTGTTGTACTTGGAAGTTATCCGTGATATGACGTCATAATGGGCATGATCAATCCGTTGCGAGATAAAATCCTCCCCAAGCTGTAACCATCTCTCACAGTTCTGTAATGTAACAATCCATCTAGCACCTGCACACAATTTGATTTCATCACTATACCTCCATGGTGGATACTCACTGAGGTGTGTTATCTGCTTTGGCTGCCATTCTATCACGAGTCTTAACCACGGGCTGTCATCATTGCTCACAATGTGTCCTGCCAAGCTCACTTTTTTTCTAAAAGTCAATAAGGATGTTTCTAACATGCATTTGTTATCGAATCCATGTATTCTTCATGCTGTCTCTCAATCTCCAATTATACTGTGTTATTGAGAGTCATGTTCAATGGTCAATATGTGGGCTGTATACGACAATGTGTCATGCTGCTAATTCTCAAAACCCCAAACATGTATACCGGCACTTTCAGAAGGGGGAAAAGGCAGTGAACGTGGGCTGCAGGATGAACGGGTTTCATGCCAGGGCGTCTACGTTTACAGTCCGACAACTGGCCATGTTCGGGAAGGATTTACAAATGAGATATTTTCAACGATGAGCTGGTGAAACCTTTCTGGCATTTTTTCATTTAAAAAAAAATCTATTATGAGTTGTCATTAAAAAATATTTTTTTTATCAATACTTACAAAAAAATCCCACGTAAACCACTCGAAAACAATTCAGCAAGGTGAATGATTTCCCGACAAGTTTCAGGGAGCTACTTTCCCACGGGCAGGCCACATGGCACAGAAGGATTTGGCAATTAAGAGGCTTTTGTGGGGGCCCACTCTGGCCACATGCACGCAACCGCTGTAGCAAGCATCGGCAGATGTTCCACCGAGAGAACACAATGATAGCCATGGCCAAGCCCAAGCGTTCCCACTGGCCTGATTGGTGGCTTGGTGGTGGGAAAATCTGACGCACAAAAGACCTGCGAGATAGCATCTCACAGCCTTTAGTATAAAAGCAGCTCAGGACCGGCTCAGAGTACATTGCTTCCTCTCATTCAAAAAGGTACAACAAGGCAGAATATAAAATCAGCCAGAAAGACTGAAATAGAGCTTAATGGCGCCCACTGCAGCTGTGGAGACCTTTTTTTTGCCAGCAGTCCCGCAAAGTAAGTCCTGTTTGACACCTACTTATTTTACTTTTCGCATCTTGTTGATTTTTTGTAAACTGCTTGTGTTCCAACGAGGTATATATATCAAATATTGTAATGTATCTTCAACCTCTCCTTCTCTTTCTTCAGGTCAGAAAACCTCTCGTGGAAAAGCAGAGACGGGACAGGATCAATAACCTCCTGGAGCACCTGAAGAGCATCGTTCTGGACAGCAGCCAGCATGAGGTGAGCAGCCATGGATTAAAATTTTGCACGGTACTAAGTCAGTGGTGAAAATGCCATACACGTATTCGTCTGGCACAGACGAGCCTATGCACAGGATAACACAGCTCAAAACAATTATCGCCACCTGTTTTTTGTTTGTTTCTATTTTCAACATGCAGCAAAACATTAAATGAGCAATTAGTTTATATAACATCCACTGTAAATATGGCAGCTGAATCCTTAATTGAAAGTTAAAAACTCATTTTTGGCATAGCATGTCAATGTAATATGAACACTTATATACTGAATTGCGATTTTACTCCTAAAATACATTTCGTTTTAATCTTGTGCTCTGAAAAGTGAGATGGATGCCGTATTATCTCTGAGAAAAATATGTTACGAAATGTTTAAAAAAAATGTAATGTTTTTTTTTTCTGCAGCATGCGTCAACGTCCAAACTGGAGAAGGCGGACATCCTGGAGCTGACGATCAACTACCTGTGCAAGGTGCAGCAACAGACGCCAGGCGCCCTGCACCCCGCTGCCCACGGCAAGGGGGCCTGCGTTGGAGGCCACGTGGCGTCCACAAGAGAGCGGCAGCCCTTCTCGCCGGGGCCCCACGGCTCAGGCTGGGACAGCGGCGCAGAAACAGATTTCAGAGATCAGTTGAGGTTTGCTGCAAGGAAGCATCAGAAACTGTGGCGACCTTGGTGAAGATTTATTTTTCCAAACCGACTTTCTTTCACATCTGCTGCTGGAACAATAATTGCTGTACTGTACAGCGAAGGACTAATGTTGGGCATTTTTGTGACCGTTATGAAAATTGTAAACTTCTGTGAAGATGATTTTTGTTTCCATTAATAATGGTGTTTAAAATTTTCTGCTTTATGTGTTTGATTGTTGTTTCATGTTATATATTTAAAAAAATGCAAAGTACTCTGCAATAATATTTTAGAGTGATGAACTGGTCATGCTTAAAACTGGGCAAAATTGTCAGATGTAAAAACATTGACACTTTTCTTCTATGAATAGAAAGTGTCCGGATTTTACATAATGTAATACAATACACAACATAAAATCCTTCAAGTTCAAAATGTGTCTCTCCAAAAATTGCACTGTTTTAACAATGTAAAGTTTTCATGCTTGGTATGGTTGTATTATGCATAATTGATGGGAGGGCAATTTCATTATCCTGCAAGTGACCCATTTATTTCAGAGAATTGATTATTTTGTTCCTGTGGAAATGCAATTGTAACGGCTGTTTGTGGCATTTCACACTGCGCCTGTCAGGTGCTCCCTGCATGAGTGCCGTGATAAACGCGGGGAATGTTATTCCCCAGGTCATTTGTCTGCGTATCGTGAATGTAGCATTGAAAACTGTGCAGTATTACCCGTGTATATATTTGCATTAAAATTTGATTTACAAATGACTTGTTCTCATGGTTATGCATAATACAACGCTATTACCTCCTCGTATAATTGTTATGCAAAACACAATTTAATTTCCTCACATCTGTGGTGATGTTTTGTAATTTTTCATTTTTTTTCTAAAAGTGTAACTGTCTGGAATAGTCAGATACAAAAGTGCCAATCACTAAAGATTTGTAGGGATTGTTTCATTTATAAAATGGCTGGAAAACGTATTCTGTCATGTTTTAATCAGTACAATTGACACTTGTCTTTGAATGATAACCAAGTTTAATCCCACATAAACCATTGATAATGTATAATGCAGCATGAACATTATCGTCCCTTCAACCAGTTATAAAATAATTAGATTTTCTAAACGTATTTCTGTTGGTCATGGGAATTGCTTGACCATACTTCACTACACTTGTCAGTGCGGTTTGTGAATGGGGGAGCCCAGGACCGGTGTTACAGCTTTCAGAGAGCACCCCCCATTGAATCAATCGCGAACCTGCACCCAACTGCATTCTCAGCTCACAATACCGCACCATTAAGTTTTGTCTGGAATAAAGAGAAGTGAATACAAAATAAACAAAGCAACAACAAAACACTGCCACAGTAGTCAATGTGAGTTAAAAAGGGATTATTGTTTCACATAATAGAACGTATTTTAGCTTGTTAGTCAGTTGTATTTGGAAAGACAAAACATTTCACTTAACCACATTGAACAGCATCTAAAATGAACATGACGTTTAAAAGTGTTGGTTGACAAAATATATTGAACCATGTAATGTATAAAGACATATATTACATATTTTTTCCGAGTGCTCTTTGCTTCCTCCCACATGTGTAAATGAGCATTAATAGAGTTAGCCAAGTATTCCAACATAGGACCACAAATCTTGGGCAGTTGTTCGTGCCAGTTCTGACTGTCTTTGTGCTTGTGTGTGGTTTACCACGCCTCTGTGCGAAAAACTGTGCCAGTTACAAATTCTGCAGCATTTTCAGATAAGCAATTTGCATGTATGACATAATGTAAAAATAAAACGCGATTATATTTAATACTTGAGAAGTTCTGATAAAAGAGTAAGTGAACCCAAACATGTCTCACTAATTTTCAACTTTGTGGTCTCCATCTCTCACAGTCCTGCAATATCGGTCTATTTGACTCCTGTGTATGAGATGATCTCATTGTTCCATCTCCATGGTTTTCGACCTCTTGGGCGTGTACCTTCTTTGGTTGTCATTTCACTCACCAGTCTCATCCATTGTGTACTGCTCAAGCCCACTTACATTCTTAACATTCACCAAGATGCCTGTTATTTGCATTTGTTATTTCACCAATGTGTTTTTTTCTGTATCTGTGTAATTCCCAGGATGCATCTCTTTCATGCATCTTTGTGTACTTTTCAGATTTTGTTCCAGATTTTTTGTCAGAGTCTAAAATGGTCTATTTATATGAGCACTCTCTTGTTTAGGAACATTGGTATTTTGCATTTCATTATCAAGTAAAACAATTCCAAAAGCACCGCACTCGGCTCTCGCTCTTGTCTAATTGTCATAATTTTGATCCAAATCTACCTTAAACAACTTTCACAGATATACATACTTTGTTGTGCTTTCAATTTTCTTTCGTTCAGGAAATACTGTAATATGGTTCCATCTCGCTCAAAGGGCTTTTATCTGCAATTTACCAAACACGTGCACTTTTTGCTGCATTTATGTACCCATTGAGTGTTGACATTCAACTATGTTGTATTCTCTAATGTATTTCATTATTTTACTATTGTTTTGACAGAGTTGTTCATATTCAATTTGTTTTATACTACGCTTCTCCATCATTCTTTTCATAGTTTCGGATAACTTGTTCTCTTTTATTTATGTTGCCCCCTCCCCTCTGCCCCGCTCCCCCCTCCCGTTACCCTCTCCATTGCACTGTCCATTGCAATGTAAGTGATCTTATTATTTAAAATGGTGACATCCATTTCTTAATTTGGGATTTCTAGCCCTCATCAAATTATCAAGACCAACTTGATCAATTGTAACGTCTTTTAAAGTAAATTACCATCAGCCATTATCGACCCCTTGCTGGATGAAGGTCTCCATAAGCCAACTCCATCTCTCACGATTCTGGGATACAGCAATCCACCGGTCACATGCACACGAGCTGACATCACCACTCTGTCTCCCCCGTGCATCTCTTAGACCCGTTCCATCCCTCTCTTGTCACTCAATTATTTTTGGTCATCATTCCTTTTAATGACGTGTCTGCCCAAGCCCACTTATGTTTCTTAACAGTTATAATTACGTCTTTTAACTTGCGTATGTTCTCTAATCCACGCGTTACTTTTTCTGCCTTTCAACGTAATTCCAAGGCTATCTAAAGATACGCATAACAAATTAACCACACTGCAATTACGATACTATTGTTTCACCAAATGACATACCATGCACGTCAGGAGTTAGCAAAAAAATATATAAACATATAAATTACTGAAATTCCACGTTGGCATGGGATGAATGGTCGTTTGAAATAACAAAGGCGACACGGGCTTTACGTTGCTCAGCGGGGGATGTAAGATTGTCCAAGTGGTGGGCGTGGCATTCCCAGCACTCTGAAAGCGGCGTGTGCCGTGGGAGGGCTGTTCACATGAACCCGGGGGCGCCAGGACACGCCTGCGAGCACACGCTGGCACGCGGCTGGCAGATGGTCCCAGGGGACAAAAGACAGCAAGCCCCATTTTGCAATCACACCTTAAAAGTGTGTCGGTAAAAAAAAAAACCCAGGGGGGCCACCTGGAATGAAATCCCAACACAGGCGCCAAAAACACAGATGTCGAATGAATGTGTATGTTTTACTAGAACTGCTTTCATTAGCAAAGGTGTCAAATTCAGCACATCTATGTGTCTCCAGCCAGCTTCCCTCCAGAATATGCACGTGACTAAAAAAGAGTGAGTTTGGGGTTAAGCACACTCAGTCAACACCTTTTTTGGAAGCAAGTTTACAATCAAACACCTGCACGGGGAATTTTAAAACAGACAACTAATACAAATTGTGACAAAGTGTTAACTGCACAGCAAGGCTTGTAAATTATGTGAAGGTACATATATAGTTTATAATTGATTATTTCTGTTGACTTTATATGTATTGTGTGCATTATAAACAGAATATTTTTTTACAGCCTTTTGTAAATCCACTGTTACACAAAGGCCTCGCCAGTCCCCACGCTATATCGATAATTTTGGTTGTTTGACCATACTTCACCCCATTGGTCAGTGCAGAGGCAGATCTAGGGGTTGTGGTCCTGTAATTTCAAACCTTTTAAATAGGGCACTACGTAAATAATAATAATAATATTGGTCGCGAAAGCCTACGTGTTAAAAAGGTTATCTGGTAAAAATCAATACAACACCAATATTGTGGGTCAGTGTGGATTATTGAAGAAGGGCCAGAACTGGTTTATATTTAGCGATGAAATATAACAATAGGTTTACCCTTTCTGGAAATAACTCGCCACTGATGATAACCATGGAAGGTAATCATACTCAGGTCGCCGGGTTCATACCGCAGAGAGAAAACCACTGCTAACCACTCCCTCTATACAAATCATTTTAAACACAAAATATTCTGTTGCGTAATGGTAAAGTCCATGAACACATTATGTTCGTGATCAGAATCAGAATTTTGCTGATGAATTTATTGTTTTATTGTTCTTATTGCGACAAAACGCGAGCCCGGTAAAATACACCGATCGACATTGGTGGGGGGGGGAGGGGAACAGTTCAAATTCTGCGGGATGGAACCGTACGAATTGCCATGTTCTGTTTACATGACAAACTTTACTAATTGGCTGTGTCGGGTGGTGGCGGGTTTAACGACACATATATTTACGCGATCTAACCCCAAAAAAATTGTATTGGGCGGGGGGAGGGGGGGAAAGTGAACCGTACCCGGGGGACATTTGGGGAGACCTCCATGCATTTCCTTCTTCTTTCATTATTCATATAGGTGCCATGCATACATATTAACTGAATAAGCCTCAGTGGCAGCAATCTTGGTCCAGGTCGTGGGGCTTGCCAGATTTATGTCCACTTCTGTGAGGGGACATCATCGGACAAACACCTGTTCTAGAGATTCTTGGTCACTGGTCTGGTGCAGGCTCATTCACCGCCTAACAGGCGGTAGACCTCTGACAGTCTATATTTGGCCTTCGGCACTTCTAACAAGTTTATGATTGGTTGGAGTGATCCGCCTAGGTTCTTATCTGGGTCTTCCATTATGGCGTTTCTAATTTGCAAGTATCTAAAAAAATGATAGCGAGGGATATTATATTTCGCCTGTATCTTACTTTATTAATGGATTTTATGTTCACGGCAATACTATGCACACGATTGCCATTTTAGAATTCCATACAATGATTATTGACTTGTCTCTGCCATCACTAACATAGCATGTTGATAAAAAAACACATTTCCCTCATATACTATAGCTTTCCGTTATGATTGAAATAAAGTGCTCTACTTTCCACCAAAAGAAAAGAAGCACTGCCAATATTTATTTTCAAAAATTGCAAGACCAAATGTTTTCTTTCTAAGCAGATGAAGGCTTCAACACATCAAGAAAACCCGTGGTTCATGTAATCATGACAGACATAAAACTAACACATTATGAAACAAACTACATGTTGTTATGGCTTAGTTACAATGCAATGTTTGTGCACTCAAATGTATGCAGTCCCGTTGCAGGCGATCGATTTCATCAAGAATGCAAAATTTGTATTTTCAACTTTGAGTGTCCATCAATTGCTCTGGTGGCTTGGGTGAGTATCCCATGGGCTGAACGTAAGGCACATGAGGTTAAAGCTCCGCATCTTTTGTGGCGTCTCTCTCTGGGCACACGCGTGCATCACTGCTGCAGCCAGTAACGGCAGATGTTCCTCTGGGAGTACAATGAGAGCTATGCAGAGCCATGCCGTTCCCACCAGCCTGATTGGTGGCTCAGTGGTGGGAAAATCTGATGCACAAAAGCCCTGAAGATGTAATCTCTTGCCTCGGCTATAAAAGCACCAGAGAAAGAGCTTGCTTCTTGCTAATGAACGCACACTTAGTGTCAACACTGTGTAAACTATACACATGGAAAATGACTCCTAGTTGAACATGTGATATTTTATCCGTAATTGTAAAAAATAGTTTTGTGTTTATATTTACAATTCATTGATGTGCCTTGAATTATAATTGTGAACTGCTAGACCATAATTTGTAAAGAGTAACTACACAACACCTAATTCAAATGTAAATATTGCTTACAATATACTGTATATAATGTATTATTATTTAATGTAACGCAATGAAAAGCATTAAAATAAAAAAATATACAACTTATGTAGATCCCTGGGGGTTTATTAGTCGTAAAGCATCTCAATATTAACAGGATACATATCATGATTACCACACAGTGCTGTGAATGGTTCAGAAAGTAATCACATGGCAATAACGTGCCTAAAACCTAGATTCATTTATTTCAAATATTCGAAGATATACAATTTATTGTTTCTTGCACATCACAAAAAGACATTTCAAACGGAGCACAGCACACTGCTACCCCGGCGTGTCATCCAAGCTCTGAATATGTCCCATTAGGCTCTATAAATATGAAATATAGTAACATGTATAAAATAAAATACACGTCAGCACATCTGGGATACAAGAACTGGACATATAAACTCAAGTGGTTTACATTTAAATTGCCATGGTGGGTTGAATATGAATAAGTTGTGAAATATATATTTTATACAAAATACGTACCCACCATTAAAGACTCACAGTAAGATTTCTACAAACAAAATGCATTCCGTATGATTTAAAGTATATTGTATTCGTATGTGGTGTACTGTACCTGCAAGAATGAAACCTTCATTTATATTCATTGTAACCTCAGGAAAATCTTTACAAATGGCGGTAAAGCATACTGTTTAGTGTAGATTTACTGTACTAAATGTGGTTTCTGTCTATATTCTAAATAATGTACACTGGTGTAAGAAGCGCAGGGCATGTGTCCACAATAAAAGAGGAGGGCATGTGTGATAGACTTCGCTCTTTCAAGTAAGCTTTGCTTTACAAGTTGACCCTTTAAACAGCCACCAGGGATGCATCGATCTTCATGAGTGGAGAATGGGAATTGAAGACCCTTTCCACAAGGCCAAAAGCAAATGTTATCCATTATCACACCAGTGTTTAAGTCATGTAGATACATTAAAACGGAATGACTGTATTGGAAATGATAGAGCAAAATCCAGATTCTTAATACACTGCATAAATAACTGGTTGTATTCTTTAAAAAAAATATTCAGAAAAATCTCAACTTTCCCTTTTCTGGCAGAGCGATCAATGTGGGAGGGTATGAGAGAGATTGAGTGGTACAGAAAACACACAATCTCCACTTTCTGCATTGCTTCAAACGTGTGCTGAGTTACAGTGATGAAACTATAATACATTAACTGCAGCATTATCCACAGCCAAACAGCGCTGAAATGTGCAACTTAATACATTGGCATTGCATTCAACAAGTCGCGTGTGTTGTGACAGATAGAGTTAGGTAGGATCACTTTGTTATATCACAGCGTTGCGTTACATCGTAAGGATGTGTTGCAACAGCCAAGGGCAGTGTTGCATTCAATGATACCAGCATAAAAGCAACACTTTTAACTGTTCACAGAACCACTTCTTCGAGAGTATTGAAAGTATGTGAGTAAAAGTAATACTGTCCAGTCCCCCGGAGAGCGGGCATAGAAAGCATCTTTTCGTGATATGGTTGATCGTTTGGTTTGGGTGGCCGCGGTCACACTGATCTGTGAGTCATCTGTGGGTTTCCAGTTGTGTGAGAGGTGTGTGCAACAGTGACCGGTCGCTGTTCTCAAGCGGTTGATGGAGCCACCAAAGTTCTCTTTGCAGATCAAAGCCGTGCGGAGCAGTGGTGGAGCCCTCGGTGAGGCTTTTATTAGGAACCTCTGCAGAATTCGACAGCGTCCGCCGGTTGACCCCGTTTCATCTTATTGTCTTCATGCGATCCCAGATTGGTTTCTGGGATTTGAGACTAGTTCGTGGAGGGTCGAGCTGGTCTCGGTGTTTCGGGAGATCAAAATGTTCCCAGAGATCGGATGTGCATATCTGGTCGGTCTGAATTCTGTCCAAAACCCACAGGTTCGAGGCAGGTGATTAGACACGTTCCACCATAAACATCCATTTATTCAATAATTTCCTCTGGTTAATATTCATGGTTAACTGTCACCTGAAAAGATATGGTTTATACGTTTGCACTTATGCATATTGCACGTCTCCAATCCACATTTCTGAAAAGATATTCTGTTGCTGTGTATCTCCGTGTCTGACTCTGATGATTTGCGTTTTGTTTATTTCTTCATGCAACCTCACCTCCCCTCATCCGCTCTGAATCATCTCCACGCCTCTCATTATTCCAAATGTCCCCTCCCATTGTTGCCAACTCCTTGAAACCTATCGTCCCAGAACAAACCTCACAGAGTCGTCAGCTGTCACTACACAGACCAAGAGTAGCCAAAATGTGACTAGACAATTCACCAAGTGCCTTTATAAGACGTATAAAACTGATGCAGGAACGTTAATACATAGTACCTTAAACCATGTCCAGAGACAATTTATTGAATTGTATTGACTGACAAGTAAACTCGCACGTACATAATGCCTGGAAGAGCTCCTAAATCTGTAAAACCAAATGGTTGTAACGTTACAATCTGTAATGCTAGCAACGCACATCCCCAAAAAAACCCACTGCAGTATTGTTTTACATGCATAGACAGACACGGGAAGGTTCATAATCGATGTTTTTTTGGGTTAGATCGCCTAAACATATAAATGTGTCGTTAAATCCGCCACCACCCGACACAGCCAACTAGTGAGGTTTGTCACGTAAACAGAACGTGGCCAATTCGTCACCAGTACAGCAACACAGCGTGGTGTGTGTAGGAGAGCCAAGCCACAGCATTTACAATCTTGAGTACGACGTTTCGCCAGTAGTTACAACTAGCTTCATCAGGCGACAGCCAGATTTGTGCAGAAGTCCACCTGGGAGGGTTCATTATTTTAACTTTAATTATTCACGACACGAATGAAGGGCCCCTCCCCTCAATCCCCCTCCCCTCAATCCCCCTCAGTCCCCCTCCCCTCAGTCCCCCTCAGTCCCCCTCCCCTCAGTCCCCCTCCCCCTTGCCCCCTCCCCTCAGTCCCCCTCCCCTCAATCCCCCTCCCCTCAATCCCCCTCAGTCCCCCTCAGGCCCACTCCCCCTTGCCCCCCTCCCCTCATCCCTGGGAATTCCCCACGCGGTGCTGTTGACCAATAGGAGACGGCGACGCTGATCTAAAACAAAAATCCCGTCGCGCCAGCAAGGCGCGCTGCTATTGGCCGCGCTATTAATAGCGCTCGGGAAAACCCAGGCGGGCGAGGCACTTTGATATTGCGACGCCGTTTTAGCCCGGTTACCCTCATCTCTCTCTTTTTTAATATACCATTGTTACCACCTTCGTTACCTTCGTTACGACTCGTCGGTTAACTTCCCGTCGGCTTCCTCGTCGCTCCATCGGAGGCACAGGGCGAGCGTCCAGGCGAAGTGTTGGCGATGCGCCCGGGCGATGTTCGCGGCCGCCGCTGTCGCCATCGTCGTTGAGGCCCCGGGCTCGGCTTGGAGTCGGCGGTAAAGGCGAGAAGGCGACACAGTGTGTGTGTGGTGGGGGTGGCAGAAGGACCGAGGGGGGCCACGGGATAAGGTGGAGAGGAGGACAAGGAGAGGCGTCGAGCAGGAGTGTCCAGACAAGATGAGTGTCTCTCGTGGAGATGTCCAGGGCCAGGACTCGAAGGCGGCCCCGGCCCCGGCGGCGGACGAGGCGTGCGACTCTGGCATCGGCTCCTTGTGCGAGGCGGACGTGGAGAGCATCAGGGCCGGCGTGTCGCGCCTCGGCGTCGACGGCACGCCGGCTTGCGCTCAGCTGGGCACCCGGCACGACGACTGCCGCCGTGGCAAAGAAACGGGCCCCCAGCCTGGCACGTACCCGGGCTCTTACCTCGCCGCCGGCGTGGACTCTTGTGGCGGTACATTCTCGAGCACGGACTCGGCCGTCGGTTCCATGTGCGAAGCAGACCTGCAGACGGAGCTGAGGAGGAGGGCAGCTGTCTCCGGCAGAGACGTGGATCCGCGCGAGGCGGAGAGACTCGCCGACGCCAGCACGGACTTTGAGTCGAAGCCAGGGGTCTGCGGCTTCGGCTGCTCCGCACAATTGAACGACCGCTGGGCAGCTGTCATTGCCGCGGAAGCGGACGAGGATGGAGACACGTAAGGTCGCCCCCCCACGCAGTGAGAGATGTGTGGTCGTATTTGTAAGGTTGCGGTGGGATGCGTGAATTCCAAAATATAGGAACACGGTTTTACCATTTTTTTACGGGACTTGTGTTGTTTGTAAATGTCCGTTAAAAGCGTTTCGTAATTTTGTACGCGCTCTCAGGTTTTTGCATCAAGCTATAATCCACGGAGCGCCGGATATCGCACTGCACGTACTCTACAAGGACGTGAACAGATGTCTCATCGATCAGCAAAACTATTTGATGCAGGTGGTGTATTTGTAAAATACCCCAAATTACATTTTGATTTAAAGCTTTCGTGACTGCAGGGATTCATTTTTTTGGTTCTTTCGGTAAAGTCACGTAGAAGGGAAACAATAAAATAATAAAAATATAAAACAATAAAATTATCTTGCTGTGTTTTTCACACCTGATGATGATTGCTTGTGTTGCAGTCGAAACGTCGTGAGAATTTTATTTTTTATGTTTTTATTATTTTATTGTTTCCATTCTACGTGACTTTACCGAAAGAACCAAGAATATGTACCCAAAATTACTAGTGTGTACATTATATGCGTTCTTTTGTTGTTTACAAAACTCGTGTTGCGCGATTTGGCCAGGAGGTGGCAGTGCTGAACTAATCCATTTAATTCGTGGGGTTTTTCCCGTGTTACTGTCCGGTAATCTTAGTTTCCTCTCGCATGAAAAACTAAATCGCTGGTCAAACATCTAAATTTAGAACCCGCAATAGCTGTCACGATACTCAGTTTCCTGGGTAAATTAATTGCATGATATAAGCGTACATGTGCAACCCTTTTGTGAATCCAGAACTTGGATGAGGGCATTGCCATGATCTTTTGAGTTAATTTAATAATACTTCAACAGATACCTGGGAACAGATAAGTACAGTATACCATTGGATTATAATGCACTGCCGCTCACAGCATAACGCCACCACCCTATGACAACCGTCGTTGCTTGATGGTGGCCAATGCGAAAAAATGAGACCGGAGATCCGGTGTGAACTCAAATCCATTTATTTCTGCTTCTCTTTCAGACACCACTGCACCTGGCTGTAGTAACAGACGAGTGGCGATTGGCACGGTCGCTGGTGCTTGCTGGAGCCAACATGTGTCTTCAGGACCTGCGTGGAAACACCCCACTGCACTTGGCTTGTGCACAGCAGAGCCTCGAAGCCGTTTGGGCACTGACTGATCAACTCTCTCCCGATGAGATACCCATCAATACATCAAGTCCTATAATTGTCCCATCAGGCATGGAGATACTGAACTACAAAGGTAAGAATTAAGGCCAAACAAAAACATGATGTTTCTGTAGGCTTTGTCCATGTATGAAATGTACATTACAACCTGGGAACTGATATATATTTTTTTAGTTATATACTTATTTGTGTTGTTTTGGTTTCCACATTTCAGAGACATCAAGTTCCTTAAGTGCAACAAATAAATAAATAATGCCATGGTCTTAACAAATGTTGCAATGTTTGCTTGTTGCAGGCTCCACATGCTTACATGTGGCAGTGCTGAACTCCAATGTAAAATTAGTGGATTACCTCGTCAGAAAAGGAGCTAACATTGAAGCAAAGGTAAGGCTTAGCATTTGTCACGTAATTATTCAATAATGACATCTATGACACCATACAGTGAACTCGCAATTTATCTGAGAGGAGGAATGTCTCGGATAAAGTAAAAACAAGGATAATACATTTGCAAATTAAGTATAAAGAGACCTGATGTGTAGAATCTGGCATCAATTGTATTGCTTCTAGAAGTAAGCTCTCACTGAGTCACACGTGAGGAGCAGGTAAAAATAGCACAAGGATGTTCGGCAAAGGTATGGATGACTTGGCGTATTTCCTTTTTTGCAAAGGGCCTTTACGCAACCTGGATAATTTGGGTAGGGGAAATTTTGGAGGGAGGGAGGGGGGAGTGAGGGGAGTATAATGAACAGGTAACTAGCTTAATATGATCTTTTCAAAAGTTTATCTCATGCATACTCTCAACTGCAGGATCCCAAGAGTGGCCGGACACCACTGCATATGGCCGTGGAACAGGGTGACGGCGTGATGGTGGCACGTCTTGTCGAGCTCGGAGCTCAGGTCAATGCCATCATGTACAACGGATGCACTCCCCTGCACCAGGCTGTTGGGAGGAGGTTGGTCGATTTGGCAAAATTGCTAATGCGTCTGGGAGCAGACGCCACCCTACCCAACCTGGAGTACGATTCGCCACTCGACCTCGCCGATGATCATGGGGTGCGTAATGCGCTTTATCAACAAGTATTTGGGTCGCAAGTTGTGGAATTATGCAAACTATACTACAGTAGGAAATAATGAGTCATGGGAAGTTTCGGTAAATATCTTGTAAATGGTTGTAAATGTCGCGAACGCCTGTGTATTTTCTAAAATGACTAGTTAATTTACATTTAAACCTGTTTTAACCAAGTATAAATATTAATATGATTGGGGGAAGTGGTTGTCCAGTGGTTTGCGCACAGTACCATAAATTCTGCTGCCCAAGTTCACTTCCTGGCCACAGATAACATTGGTGATGTAATCTGCGTCAGTCGTTGGGGTGATTTTTACCCCGATTTTTGCCATTCTAATGTGTATAGGTGAACATGACACGGCAGTCATGGGGTAACGATATTCAAGTACATGCTTAACATGTAATTAGGTACAGTTTATTTTATGTACATTGTTTATAAGTTCAGGTTAATACAGTGATATTTAAAGCGATGTGTTCACTATGTAAATATTTACATAAACAAATTGTAACTTTTCTAGTCTTTAAAATGCATGTTATAAATCTCTTTGCAGATGTCCCTGTTTGCTTATGATGACTTCACAATTGAAGGCCACCTGGTGAAGAACACTTTTTAATTAATTAATCGTGTTTTGTTACTTATATCCCCAACCTCTGAAGTACAACATCACATATCTAAACTCGTTGGGGATGGAGGTATAGGCGGATATGTAAAAATGTTGGATATGTGAATGACAGTTACACCATGCACAAATCGGTCGCTGGACAAATACATGGCAAAATGGTTTAAACTGGGATATATGATTTTCTGTCCTTTACAAGTAAGTGCATGTTTGTGAGATGAGGAATATTGTATATTGCTACATGAAAAAGTTAAATTTGTGAACATCTGTAGAAAATGCCGTTGCACCATGCACAAATATTTCACTGGGTGGGGCAGTTGATTGGTCCGGGCAGATGTGATGGTTGGATATTTACACGTTGTCATGTACAGTACTGTTTAATTTTGCAGGATTTTCAAGAGATCAACAAATTCACCCTAAAACTCAGTTCATTTTTTACTGGAGCATGCATGTTAATAGCTCGCTCTAGGTCCAGTACTTTGCACAAATGCACACTTGTCAGTTTAAAACGTATGAGTGAATATAACTTTATCTAAGGCTGATTTTGCCATTTAAATCATTAATGCATGTTTAATGGTCGTTTAGATACTTATTTGTTTAGAAAATATAGGTTAGAAGTAATACTATAATTTGGTTATGTTTAAACTAGATCTCATGCATTGAAAATATCGCAATTTGGGATGTATTGCATTACACAATACTTTGTTTTTATATGTACAGATTTACATTGCTATGATTCCCACCGCATGCTTCAATGAAATTGGTATTATTACAAGTACGTAGCATACCTCTATTCTGTACAGGTAAATATAGGTGATTCATTAAACATAGTACATTGTTGTATTTATGACTATTCCAATTTTAGTACACAAACGTTACATTTACTTATTGACCATTTTTCACAAACAATTGGATCAGCATTTTTTCGAAGGTAATGGAAAATGAATGCTCTATACCTTTTGTGTAATTTTTTTAAGCTTACATTTTGCAGTGTTTCGCTTGTCCGTATAGACAACGAATTAGGTGTTTATTCAGTAGTTTATTTTTCTCCATTCATTTTAGCATGTTTTAAATGTAATAGAGTACAATGTACATATGTGAGTTGAACTTCTTTCGCACTATACATAGCTAACCGTATTAATCGGAGGTGCGGGGGAAGGACGACAAACTAAACACAACGCAATTCTAAAGAAATTAGTTTTCAATGTAGATTTAAAAGTGGCTTCCTAATATCGGAAGGAAGAGCAATCCAGACGGCTGCAGAAGCGCCTCTGAAAGCGCGATGAAGTGGCCCGTCTGTTCGATGGACAGCCAAGAGGGTGCGATGGTTTATGCTCCCTTGACAGTGGATATGAGAGTTTACTTGACCATACACGAAGTGGAGAGTTTGCTTATCCAGGCGTAGATCAACAAAAGGGCTGTACGTGTGCAATAGCATGGCTCACAATACCAAACTGTTAATAAACATTCTTTTGAAATTGCGTGCACCGGTTTTTTTTATTTAAAACACACTGTACAAACTTAATGTTTAAGATGTACAATACGTTGCTATACAGTATTACCAGATGCTTAAATCATTGCAGTTGGATTAATTAAAGATGAAAATATCACGAATACCGCATACAATGCGCCTATACTGCTTGGATAGGACCATGCACCAAAACGTTAGCATAGGCTGCGAAGCTGTGGGATGGGCAGCAGAGGGCAGTGAAGTAAATTGGACTGCTCTGCCAAAAACTGATCCCGCGTTCATCCCTCACGTGGTGTGGAGGCCTTTATCCAGCAATGGATCAACAAAAGGGTTGCACGTGTAATAATTTATATTTACAAAGTGCCGTGCATGTAAATGTGGAAAGTAACCGGGGAGAGAATGACTTAGAGGCAAGAAAAACAACGAGAGAGGCCTTATACCGACTATAATCACCCAGGAATGTCTGTCAACGCTCCTGACGGCACTCCACATCGACCAGCCCCCCTCATTAATATTCATGAGCGGGTGACGTCACTATGGAGTACCACCCCCACCCTCATTAATAATCATGAGCAGGTAGCCACCCCCCCCCCGCCATGAGCCAAGAATCTGTGTGCAACGCTCGTGACGTCACTCAACGTCGACCAGCCCCCCTCATGAACAGGTTACGTCCTCTACATTGACCCCCCCCCCTCAATAATCATGAGCATGTGACGTCACTCCACATGGAGCACCCTCCGCAATTAATAATCATGAGGTGACGTCACTACACATCGAACAGCCCACCCCCTCATTAATAATAATTAGCGGGTGACGTTACTCCACATGGGGGGGGCGAGGCGCCTTCTCCCCCCCCCCTCCTCGGCGTCAACTGACAACCCTCACTACAAAGGCAGAACCCTCACGTCATCACGTGATCTCCGTCACGCTGTTGAGACATCAAAGTAAAAAGGACGTCATGATGAACAATGGATTATAACCTTTACATGAAATAAGTCTGTGTCACCGCGCCTTTACAAATTGCTCACGAATTGATGCAATGAAATATCACGTCGTGGTCTGCTTTTCGCTTACAAGTTTCAGATTTACTGCAATACACCCGTCCTTGGACGGGCAAAAGGCGAGTTAAATAGGTGTCTTCAACCGGGACTCAAGTCTCTATCGATTTCGAGTTAACCTCCAAGGGCAAAGAATTCCAGAACCTGGACGCCACGTTGAGTAGGGCACGATCGGAATATCTCAATGGAGTGCAGCTAAATTGGCTCCTGGATATATGGGAGCAAGCCAAATTAAAGCCTTGCACAAAAGGAGGGAAATCTTAAAATCAATGCTGATGTGAACTGGAAGCCAAATGCAGAGGCATGAGCATAAGTAAATTCTGATCCTGAAGAGGAGTATGCGTGAACACCCGGGCGGCTGAATGTTTGACACTGCAGTCTACAAGGAGGATACTCGGGGCTCTGGAGAACAAGGCATTGCCATGATCAAGACGGGGAAAAAAATAAAGAATGATCCAGTCTCTCAGTATCTTCGGAATAAAGAATGTGGCACAGACGGGCAAATTTACCTCCATTAAATAACGTTATCCTCGCAACGTTTTGACATGTTAATTGTAAGATAAATACTGATCCGAGAAAACCAAGATTTTCGTGTGTTAGGCACTGGTTCAAAGGAAGCAGCGCCGACTGCATAAAGCACCTTAAGTGATTATATTATATTGTATAACATAAAGAACACGGCTTAACCAAGGTACATTGTATTGGTTTAACGCCTAGTGCATTACTGTAATAAACCATTTTTAAGTGAATACGATTTTAGGAGTACTTTAATGTATTTTTATGTATCAAGTTACTTCATAGCAGTCATATACAAATGTTAATTGAGCAAGACATCACTCCAAATTGAAATAGCTTTTGACATATACTAGACATAACAGTCCACTCGTGGCATGATGCATGAGGATACCATTGAGGGACAATTCACAATTCCCCAAAGTTATTTTATGTCAACTTCCACATCACATCTTCCGGCCTGCACAATCTGTTGGGATTTTTCTCGTTATTTGTTGCCTTTTTTCTGTACGCATGCATCAATTGATGTTGTCGTTCTTCTGAGTTCATGCACCACAGATCACCCTTGCAGACTAGCCGGGTAACTGGCGAAATAGGACTTTCCGTGTTACAAATACACGTTGATTGATTTTCCACGTGAGCATTACATCTGCATAGTCCCAAACAGATACTGCATTCTCTATATTACGATACCCACAGAATTTCCCTCCAGTGTCTTAAAGCAACAACTGGCGTCTTACAATTTGGAAGGTGTATGTGACCGTATTCGTCTCAGAATCAGAATATTTATACTGGAGGGATTTGATGAGCTATATTTCACAGATGTACAGTTAGGGACGTTACGACAAACAAAACGAAACACGATAGGAGTACAAATTATAGGAAATGAAAACAAATTGCTTCAAAAATTGTATACAAATAAAATTTAACTTTTTTATTTATCTTATCAGGTAAGGCCCACTAAGCTATGAGTTTATTTTTCAGAAGGAACCTGGCCACAAAGCGGCTTATGTGAAAATGTATAGCAGCAAAATAATCTAAACAATCTAAATGCATGTTTCTAAATGTGAAGGGAAAACCGGAGGATCCATAGAAACAAAAATCCACGTGACCACGGGGTGAGAGGCACGCAAACTCCAAATACACATGCGTCAGGCTCGCGATCCAAGCCCCGATTTCCTGCTAACCTGGCGACGAAAATAACATCACACCACCGTGGCGCCCCTTAAATAAATAAAATATACTAGCTGTAATAAAGTATTAAAGCTTTCGTGACTGCATAAAATTACTCATTGTTTTTTTCGGTAAAGTCACGTATGTTCAAATACAATAAAATTATATTAAAACAAAAAACAATCACGACGTTTCGATCACAACGCAAGCGATCTTCATCAGGTGTCAAGAACAAATCACGGAGGTAAATACAACAAAAAGATGAGAGATGAGAATTCAACAAACATGAATAAACATTATGTGAAGCACATCCACTCAGGCCAACAACACAGTTAGACACTTCCAGACACTTCCAGGCGGAACACGAATATTATTAATATTATTACACGAATAATTTACACGAATAATTTACACGAATAATATTATTAATAAGGAAGGTGTATGTGACCGTATTATTAATAATATTATTATTCGTGGTCCGCCAGGAAGTGTCTGGAAGTGTCTAACTGTGTTGTTGGCCTGACTGGATGTGCTTCACATGTTTTTTCATGTTTGTTGAATTCTCATCTCTCATCTTTTTGTTGTATTTACCTCCGTGATTTGTTCTTGACACCTGATGAAGATCGCTTGCGTTGTGATCGAAACGTCGTGATTGTTTTTTGTTTTAATATAATTGTATTGTATTTCTACATACGTGACTTTACCGAAAAAAACAATGAGTATACTAGCTGTACCCAGCGTAACATACGCCGATCTAGCAGATCTTACTTAAAACATTCACGCATTCGTTTTTTTACTTCTATTTTTATCAAACATTTCTCTAAAAACACAAAAAGCTTCAAATCAAGACCAAAAACACAATTGTCAGTTTCTGCGTTCTTTTCCGGCACTACACTGAGTCAATCAAACGACCTGACTCTCGAGAGAGCAACATATACATAATGGGAAGAGCCAGCCGAGTTGTTACAGACACCCTTCAGCTTTTCAGATGTTTAGATAAGTTTAATTGACAAGAGTGCACGTGTTGGGGTCCCATCCCTTGCGGCTTTCAAAGCCACCGCGAGACGTGAGCTCACGCACGTGGCAGCTTGCCCACGTGGCCGTCAGCCGGTGACGCCCTCGCATTCGCCGGACGTTCCGGGGGTCCTCGGGGGTTGGTGGCAGAGGGGGGCGGGCTCTGCGCGATGACGACACGACGCCGTGCGTAATGACGCGTGGTCTCGCCCACAAACCAATAAACCGATCGGTGACGTCACCACGCAACGCGCGGGGCTGTTGCGCGATGACGTCACGTCGCTGTCTCCACTCGTGGCTGCGTACAGTAAACGGCGGCGGTGGCGGCAGCAACAGCGTCACGGCTCTCCGCTCAATTAGCGGCGGCCCATTGTTATCAGCGTTAGGTAATTAATTGCCGGTGCAGATTGAAATAATAGCAGCGATAATAAGATTAGTGACAGCAGACGTGTGGGTAACACGGGCCGCGGGGCCTGAGCGCGCCCGTGGCTCGACCCGGACGGACGCAGCACGAAGAGGGGGTCTCGGGAGCGGTGCGCACCGATATGGGGTGAGTGGGGCTGTCGCGGGGGTCCGGGGAGACACCCGATGGGAACTCGGGGTCGAGAGGGGACCGGGGACCGTCCAGGGTACATAGAAAGGCCCCGGAGCTTTTCGAGCGGAATCTTGCGAGCACCTCAGTTTGAACATCGCCTTCCGTGGGCAACTCGGGGAACTTGTGTGCGGACCCAGGGGTTACAGAGGGAACTGGAGCTAGGGGGCCCCCCAGAGAGAACCCACCTCACTCGGGGTCAACCAATGCCCATTTTGAGATGTTGCAGCCAGTGGCGAGTGTGAGCGAGTTATACATTCTAAGTGAAGTCGTTGAGCAGTTGTGATTTATTGCTTATGCTGGACTTTGGGGCAACTAGGCTTTGATTAGTTTTAAAGTGCAAGAGGGGAGTTTTGAGAACTTCTCTACGCCGGCTTCACGTAGTTCGGACATTCATTGCAGGTTCTCGATTTCATCATCACCCCCGCAGGATTCTACCTTATCATAATTGCCTTTCAGCAGGTATGTGCAGCAGGAGTGGTCTGACCCCGGTGACATCTGCGGAATGATTCTGGACTGGGCAGGACATGTGACGCATGGTATTGGAGAACTGCAAGCCGAGGTCGTTTGCAGAGCCGAAGGCAATTCTATTTAGCTGAACTTTTAAGAGCATTGACGCAGACAGCTCCTCCGTCTGTCAATAAGGAAATGCAGAAT